CAATGAAAATGCAGCCATCTCACAGAGGCTTTCAGGCCATCCACGGACATTAACATCCCGACAGGAGCGTCTAATAAGAGGGGTTAAAGACAATGTCCAAAAAGTAGAAAAGCCAAATTGGAGCGACTGTTTCTCGTGACATCATCAAAATTTGAGAAATGGCAAACTTACTCTCTTTCGATTAGGTGTGAGTAATAAGAATTTAAAATCCTCACATAAAAAGCCTTAAATGGCCAAGCTCCATCTTATATCAGAGATCTGATTGTTCCTTATGTTCCTAACAGAGCACTTTGCTCTCAATCTGCAGGTTTACTAGTGCTTCCTAGAATTTCTAAAAGTACAGTCATGGCCAAAAGTTTGCAAAGTCAATATTTGCCTAGAAAATGAACTTTATGCCCTAAAACACATTTCAACATCATTGCAGCCCTGCCTTAAAAGGACCAGCTAACATGGTTTCAGTGATTGCTCCATTAACACAGGTGTGGGTGGTGATGAGGACAGGGCTGGAGATCGATCTGTCATGATTAAGTAAGAAAGACACCACTGGACACTTTAAAAAGAGGCTGGTGCTTGGCATCATTGTTTCTCATCTGTCAACCATGGTTATCTCTAAAGAAACAACTGCAGTCATCATTGCACTGCACAAAAATGACCCAACAGGAAAGAGAATCACAGCTAGAATATCAATATCAGTAACTCTTAGGAAAGAACTGAAAAATGACCCCACTGTTTCTTTTCATTCAGTTTGACTGAGGTGGAGCTATTTAGCCAGAAGATTGATAAAAAATTTCAGTTTATCAGTTTGTAATTTTATCTTAGGCTAAGTTCAGACCTAACGTGCTTTGGGCAGCAGAAGTGGTCGCTTTAGATGCAAAATCTATGGTAGACGCGCATCAAGGCGAAACAAATGGTCCTGCAGCACGTCTAGAGCAGCAGGAGCGACACACCTTGATGCATCACAGCAGCGCCTTATGAGCAAATTACATTTTTGCTGCTAGACGCATCACATGAACCAATCAGAGAAGATGATCTGGGTGCTGGCAGGGAGACAGACACAGCACTACTGATGCAGAGCGCTATGATCACTTCCCTTTACTAACTTACTCACTTTATTAACGCCTAAAAAAACCTTAAAATTTGGAAACCTGTCCAACTTACCTGAAAAACCCTAACATCTACTTCCAGCCACCACAAACAGTAGGGGAAACCCCACAAGAGGCGACCGGGCCTGAGGCAGCTGCTGCTGGGGATTCCCAATGACGCCGCACTGCTGCTATGTGGGGGTCTGAGCGGCTCAGACAGAGGCATAATATTCTGGATGGTAATCTGGATCAACTGTGTGCACAGAGGATGTTTTCAGGTGGACTTTCTCACTTAAAATATATTAAAACTACTTTTTACCCACTGATCAAAGCAAATATCGCAAAGCCACTCTCTGCCATTGAACACAGGAGCAGCAGAAACATCAGACACATCTGGACACACTTTACTGGACATCTGACAATTTGGACAAGCATCACGCAGCAAAAGCTTTTTTGCTTTTAGGAGTGTTTAAAAAATGAAAATTGCATTTAAGTTTATATACACATATTTATTTAATATTTTAACACCTTTTATTTTAGAGGGAACAGATCCTTCACTCATATCTGTGATATGTAAAAACTTTCTAAGGAAGGAGAGTAGAGAAGCACCACAGTATACATCTTACATTTTTTGTAGAAAAGACTGAGCGAGTTGGACTTCGGCTGCCTTGGAGCTTGGCAGGGAGCCTGGGGGACGGACTGAGAGGCAGCGGGATTTTGAGGGGGTGTGGCCGGGGATTCAGGGGGCAAAACCCGCAAGCCTGGGCGTGTTGGGGAGAGGTATCTGGAAATCACAACACAGGGAGCGGAAGGAGGAATCAGTCCAATTACTGACAAAGGGTAGAAAACTTTCCTCTTACCAGACAACAAGCTAAGAAGAGATACATGATGATGCACTGAATGTTTGGCAGACTAAGATCTGATTTCGGTTTAACTGTATCTGAGCACCAGTTTGTTTGATCGATAACTTACAGGTCAGCGGCCGTGTGGTTGTGCTGCAGCGGCTGGTTCAGGCTTGCTGTGGTCTCAACTGGCTCCCCTGCTGAGCTCGCATGCTCCTGCTTCAGCAGCTCATATAGAGGTGAGCCCTGCAAAGACAAGCATCAGCACAATGTCTGTCAAACAACCTTGCATCAAATAAATAAATAAAACTTACACCAGTGCTTTCAAAGAGGAAAGTGAACATTACATGGCTCTAAAGATTTTTATTTGAATGTGACATGTTATCTACATACTCGGCATTACACTGCTGTCTGTATTTTATGATGTCGAACTATAAATCTTTGCTGCAAGAAAATCGTGCCATGAGGAAACTTTTGGTTCATGCTTGTACAAAATAACCATCGTCCAAGAAGTAAAACCTTAAATGATCTAAAGCATGTTATCAAAAACACCTTGGGTATTATTCTGGGCTGCTATTTATCAAAGAAGCTGTTGAAGTTAGTTATTGCTAATAAATGTGGAATGTGGAAAGTACATGGCATAACAACCTCCCCACCATGATGCAGATGCAACTGTGGTTTTTAGTGAAAAAAGGCTCACATTTTCCGTGACAAACCAACAGTGTACCCATGATTTAAAGGTTCAGCTGCTTTCATCTTGGTCGGAGTTCAAGTTCAAAGGAATAGAGAAACATATTCACTAAGAACAGAAACATTAGGGCTGCTTCACAATTCCCAGTTCATATATATATATATATATATATATATATATAAATAAAAGGGCTACTACTAGCCATCATTTAGCTAATCTATTAATCTGTTTATTACCGTAATTTTCAGACTATAAGCCGTACCTGAATATAAGCTGCAGAAACTAAATTGCATGATTTGTACATATACAAGCCGCACCGGACTATAAGCTGCAGTTTATTTATGTTTAATTACCGTATGGTTCGTGCACCGAGAGTATTGTCGGGAAAGAGGCAACTTTTTGGCAAAGCTACAATATTTTAACATTTCAACATAATTGAATTGAGACAATTCTTCCTGCTGGCGTCTCCAACGTCTCACCATTGACTCGTTGATTCCAAGGTTACGTGCAGCGGTTCTATTTCCAAATTGACTGCCTTTAACTTAAAAGCTGCATCATATGCATTTCAACGTTTGTTTTCCATAATGAGGGTGTCACACAAACTGTCTTGCGCTCGCAATGTCCGTCTTCCTCGGAGTCTGCTTCCGGAGGACGTCCATAATCCCCAGCGTGGCTACTTGTGCGTTGAAGCAAATGTGACGTTAACATGTTGGATGGTAAAATCTATAGATTTAGGTATTACCCTAGTGGCCGTTAGCTGCAAAAGACCATAGATAAGCCGCATTGTTATATAAGCCGCGAGGTCGAAAAATGGGGAAAAAGTCGCAGCTTATAGTCCGAAAATTAGGGTATTTATTCGAATAATAATCAGACATCATATATCCTATAATGATAATTAAAAGAATTAAACCAGGTGAAACTGAAAATTTTCCACTCGTTGAGTGATAGAGCATACTGACAGGTGAAAACCTTTTTATGCCCAAAAAAATATATATTTAGATTTATTTCTTTTTACAATTATAGTATAATTACTACTCTAAGTGGGTCACTTTCTCAGCTAAAGGCATGCTTTAGAGTCTCTATAACAGGACTGAAACAATCAATCAGATTAATTGCAATTGATTATTTAAATAATCATCAACTAATTTAGTAATGGATCAATTGTTAACTGGAGTATAGAGACTGTAAAACTTAAACTGCTTTGAGCTGACAGAGTCACCCACTTAGTGCAGTATATTAACATTCTGCATTTAAGATTAAAAATAACTTTTTCTTCTATCCATCTGCTCTATCCAGAACTACTTAAGTGGAAAAGTTTTAGTCTCACCTGATTTAATTTAGGTTAGTTGCAACCCTACTCTACATTCCAGTTAATGATTAAATGATTACTAAAATAGTTGATGATTATTTCACTAATCCGTATTAATCCGGTTAATGTTTCACCCCTAATATCAATACCTAATATCAAACCTAGAGCCTTAGTTTAATAGTTTCAAAATAAAAAGAGATGTAATCAAAATCAATATAAAACATCATGATGTTTCTTTACATGATGCGTTTCTGAGTGCTGACCAATATGTGTAAAAAAAAAAAAAAAGTTTCCACATTTAGTTAATAAACTCTGGTACTTTAAAGACAGATTTTCTTTATTACCATAGTTACTGAGAAAGATGTACCCTTAGCACCTAAGATTTTAAATTCATGCTGCTGTGATCAACATCTATCATAGTCATAGGAAATTATTTATGACTGATTTTCACAAAACATGTTTCCCTTTCAAGAAATTCCCCCCCATAACAACCCTGATGAGGGATATGTGATCAGATAACACCCATTTTTCCATGATGTTGACAGAAGACACTCCTCATTGTATGTGTCACCAATGGGCAAATACAAGTCTAACTGCCAAACCTCAGCTGTAGCTCATTTTATCAAGACTACACGCTTTTTTTAATCAGTGATGTCAAGATTAGCATGCGAGTCAAGCTAACACCCACCACCCCCACCCACCAACACCAAACCACACACGTTCGGAGGATGTCTAGATTTAGCGAGTGGTAGAAAAAAAAAAATCTACTGCAGGCACAGACACGCCATAAATGCATGCTGACGCCACTGAAATTTCAAAAGCACACACTATTTGACAGCTTCCACCGTACTGGATGACGCACAGATACCAGTACAGTGACTTTTTTAATCAGGTTCTTCAGACAGCTTATCAATGTATTTGTAAGCTTCCTTGGTTGAAATCAGCAAGGTGTGTCACATATCTGATAAAACCATAAATCTTATCTCTGTGAATATACAGACATGGCTAATTGTGCAGAAAGCAGGCTTCCAAATGAGTCAGTGCTTTTTTTTAAATACAATGTTCACACTGCAAAACAAAGAGGGAGGACTTTGGCTCCAGGTGAAGGCTCCGCCTTGCCTTTTAACCGTCCAACCAGTTCCTTGTATGACTTTCATATGAGCAGACAGCTTTGGGGTTTGTCTGATTTACAGTAAACCAGGAGTTGGTAAAACAACCACCATGTGCCCTCAAGACAACTGCAAGAACAGACAGAAGAACACGAAAGGGGAAGAGCCACTCAACCGTTTGTAGAGCTGAGGAGCAACACATGACTGGGTTTCCTGCAGGATTAAACATTTCCACTGAGAGGACGCTTTCTTTTACTTGCAAAGAACTGAACAATGGAAAGATTTCACAAAGGGGAGAAATAAAAGACTTTGGAAGACAAGAGAGGTAATCTGCAAAGCGTCTGGGTGTGGAGGCTTTAACTTTTGACTTACAGGAAAAGTTGAGGACTATTTTTGAACATTGTTAACTTCCTAAAAGCCTCTAAAGATGAATAACAGCAGCAACTGTGACAATGATGACTTCAAGTACCCCATGTACAGCACGGTCTTCAGCCTGGTGTTTGTATTGGGGCTTATATTTAATGCCATAGCGGTATACATCTTCATGTGTACACTGAAGATCCGGAATGAGACCACCACATACATGATGAACCTGGTTGTCTCTGACAGCCTCTTCGTCCTAAGCCTGCCTTTTCGGATTGCCTACTTCATCAAGAGAGAGTGGATTTTTGGCAGCGTCCTCTGTAAGATCTCTGTGGCGCTGTTCTACACCAACATGTACGGGAGCATCCTCTTCCTCACCTGCATCAGCATGGATCGCTTCTTGGCCATCGTTCACCCATTCCGCTCGCAGGGAATACGCACAAAAAAGACGGCCAAACTGGCCTGCCTTGGGGTGTGGGTAATGGTTCTCTCTGGCAGCATACCTACGGGGTTCCTTCTGGACACCAGCTCGCCGAACGAGACCAACGTTTCCTACTGCTTCGAGAATTACTCCAAAAAGCAGTGGAAGAACGAGCTGTCGATGGTGGTGATTTTTATCGAGACTGTGGGCTTCATACTTCCACTGATGATTAACGTGTTCTGCTCAATGATGGTGTTACGGACATTGAGGAACCCTGCAACCATCAGCCGAGGGGGGAGCCTCAACAAGCAGAAGGTCCTGAGGATGATCATTGTTCATCTGCTTATCTTCTGCCTTTGCTTCATCCCCTACAACGTTAATCTCATCTTTTACACCCTGGTGCGCACAAAGGTCATCGCAGGGTGCTCAGCAGAGCGGGTGGTGAGAACCATCTACCCCATAGCTCTCTGTATGGCAGTGACCAACTGCTGCTTTGATCCGGTCGTTTACTACTTCACCTCGGAGACAATTCAAAGCTCCATCAGACGGAAGTCGACAGCTTGGTACAACGGGACCAGACTGTTCGACAAACTGTACACGGACAGCTCACAGAGCAGTCCCAGTCTACAAACCAAGAGCCTCACCCTGAGCAGCATCAGACCCGGATCAAAACACAATGAGTCCACCGTGTGACAACAGCGCTACTGTTGTTGGTAGCAACACAACATAACATATTTTCCTGAGACTTGAAGTGAAGCAAACAGAAATCCAAACAGAAACATTCCCTTCATCAGGACAAAACAGACTTTGGACTTAAATCCCAATGGGAGCTATAAAAACAGAAAGGTGTGTTGCAACTGTGTGTAACTATGTCACACCTTATCCAAGCTTGGATTGGGAAACGAACCCATAAGCTCCAGTTTAACTAACAATTATTGAGGATAATGCTTCTGTGATCTTATTTATTAGAGCTGAACCAGTATTATTGCTCTTTTAAGGGTGCTGTATTCTGCCGTTTGTTGTTGTGTGTCATATTTAGTCACATTAAGTCCAATGTGCACTTTAAAACCTAGCATTTTTTTGAATACCTTTCACTTACAAGCTGAGAAAATAAAAGTATTTTCTTTTTTTAAAAAGGTCTGAGTTTTAATCAACCTTCTTTTTACAGGCAGATATCGAACAGTTGATAAGAACTTAAATCAACTACTCAGGGTTCAAAGAGATATTTTCAACTCACAATTCAGCACATTTACAAACCCCTTCTCACTCCAGTGTTAAAATTCTGATCAGAAAAACCTTATGATGAATTTAAGGTAGTGTTTCATTCAAAGCTGGGCTTTAAAAAGGAAATGGTGCGTGGAAACATTGAGGCAATGAAAAGAGGGAGAAAATCTGAAAAAGGTTTAAATGTGGCAAACATTTAAAATGTCTATTCTTGAATGTAATAAACCCCTATCCCTATTATTGCATTTACTAACCAGCTAAGGCATACACGGAAACCAAATTCAACGAACGTTGCATGAAAATGTTCTTGATTTGAGAGTCAAATTTAACCCATTAAGCTGTAGCCTGAGTGTGTATCCATAGCTCTTTGCAAACAGAACACTGTGGAAGCTTGTGAAATATGTGCTCCTCCTCATAAAAGCTATGCACGACAAGACTGAGCATTACAGCATTTTTGTTCAACGTTGTTGCCTTAGGCTCTGTCCCGACAAGAACAGACTCACTCCAGGGATGGAGAAACCAAAACATGCGAGCAAAAAGATGCTTCTTCAGCAGAAAACTTAAGCAAATAACAGCAGGGAGGGCTATAGCTTTGCCACATGTATTCAGCACGAATTAATGGGTAGGCAGAAAACAGATAAAATTCATTGCTGTGAGAAGATATTTAGTAAAAAAAAGACTGACGAATAAAAAATGTTCAGAGTAATGACCGCTTAAAACTAATAACTGTTTGTTTAAACTGCCAAAGAAGACTTTTGTGTCAAAGAAAGATGGACACTCTTTCTATGCCTGCTTAAATTCGGTAGGGTTTCTGATTATGAAAGTACTGATTAGGCTTTTATTAAAGCTTCTGGATCAGATCTGGGTCTAGACTTTGACTAAAACAGCCCAAAACATTCAATATAAATGTTTTTGTTTTTTTGAGATTTCAGAGGTGGACTTGCTAGCTGTTAGATCCAAGAAGGTTCTGGGTTCAAATACTACCCTGTTAAAAGAAGGACAATGTAAATGAGTTCTTTAACATGGGCTTTTAACCCCCTAGTGGGTTAGTGAGGTACTGCTGGGAGGCATCTTTGCCAACAGCCCTAAACTGGCTTTAGAAAGCTTCAGCAACGTATTGTAGCTGTAGAGCTAGGCTGGTTCTTGCAATCTTGGTGCCACGTGCTGAAAGGCTCCAGTTTTAAGTCAGAAGCCTGAAAGAACAGAAAAATCAGTGCCTAAAATAAAGACAAAAACCAACAAAATATTTTGTGCAAAAATCAGAGGACTGACCCTGGATCAGGCCGATTTTTTCTATGTAGTAAGAAATTCAAAACAGCAATCTAAACTGAAAGCAGGAGCAAAGCCAGATGGGGGTCCAGGGTGGCCATGGTTACCTTTAGCCATTCATTCTCCACCCCTGTGGCCACCACTACTAAATGATTTATTCATATTTACTATACAAACATAAAAGATGACAAATACAGAAGGGGAGAGGACAAAGGTCTGTGTCTCTGCAAGTCATCCAGGAGTCTGCAGTGTATTTAGACATGAAAAAATAACTAATCACATTTAATGTATAGTGTGTATATATTAATATTATATAGAACAGCCCTTTTCTTTTTCTGGAAATGTAGCTTAGAAACTTCCAAGTCATGTATTAAATAACTACTCCTCTAGCATTGTGTTAAAGAATTTCCCAGATACACTCTGTGTAAATGAGAGGTGTTCAATAATAATGCCCCTGACCATCTTCCTCTTGTTTGAACTAGCTGAAACTTTGGATGTGCAATTATTTATTTCTCTATAGATTAAATAGTAAATCACAGCTCTGAACTTATCATGGTTTCTGATTAACAGGTGTTTAAACTGAGTTAAGTCTGAAATGGAGCCCGTTGAGCCGAGCAGTAATCAGGTTTTATATGACATTTTAAGGCCATCATCACCATAAGTTGCTTTCATTTCATGAAAAGTTTCCTGTAGTGTGCGTCATTTCAAATACAAAAACCTGGATCATTGCTTGTCACTCAACAAGCTCCGTTTCAGGCCTGACTCAGTTCAAACACCTGTTAATCAGAAACCACTATTATTTCAGAGCTGTGAATTGCTACTTACTCTATAGAGATATAAATAATTGCACATGTAACATTTCAGCTAAATCGAACAACTAGAATTAGATCAGGGGCCTTACTTATTGAACCTCCCTCATATTTCTGTTCTGTGAGGCCTTCTCTGGCTTCTTGTGATTCTAAGTTAATTAAAAATATTTGTTGAGAACAGTGGAGCTACAACCGAAGCTAACTGATAAAGAATATAAAACAGGATTCATATGATCTCCCTTGCTGCAGATATCCAGACAGATAAACTTGATGTCGTAATAATCAAATTAGCTTTAGTTTAGATTCTGAACAGCAGTTTGGACGACCTCCTAAAGCAGGGGTGTCCAATTAATGTTTATATTGGGCAACTTCAGCATTATCATGTCTTTAAAATAGGACAGACGCAGCTGTAAAAATAAAAACAAAATATCAAACTCCTCTGGTAATATTGTTTTACCTACATTTCCTTAGCTGTTTGTTTACCCTCTAAAAGCATGCATGCCACATGATGCACCTTTTTAAGCTGTTGGGGCCTGATAAATTGCTGTGGTGGGTTGGATTCGGCCTGTAGGCATTGAGTTTGACGAATATGTCCAAGAGGGTTTTTTCTAAAGCAAAGAGTTCATGATTCCATTCATTTTAGCAAGTTTTCAAAGGTCCTGGAGGAGCCAGGATCTTTGAAAACTGAGTCCACTCCCTCTTATTTCAGCTTTCAAAAGCCCACAATGCAGCGATGGAGTTGATTACTCCCCGCTATTATCGCATCCCCACCCCCTTACAGGGGAAGAGAACACCTCGCCTGTTCAGCAAGGCCAACAATTCCCTCTAATGACTCCCCTTTCAAACACATAGACAGGTATGGGGTATAGCAGGCTAACAAAGAAACCAAACGACTGCCCATTCCTAAGGGGCAGACCCGTTCATCTGGTTCAGTTTGGATGTTTTCTAAGCCAAAACAAGGCTTTTTTTTGGTCCACTCTATAAAGCCTCAAACTCAATGGTAATTCAGACATTTTGATTTGAAAAAGCTTCCTGGATGGGAAGCGAAATGTCTTAAAACTTGAAAACAAAGTACAGCGAATTGTTTTTTTTTTACATTTTTGGAATGACTATGACCTCGATGACTGGGAATCTTCACCAGCATTTCTCTTGTTTGATTAATAAATGGGTTTTTATATTTTCATGGTCTCCCGACCAAGAGTGAGTAAAAGAGGAAATAACCTATTTTCTGCACAGAGAAACTCTTTTTTCTTTTTAAGAATGTATAAATTTTATCATTTAGGAAACAAATATTGGCTTTTTTTATTATGCTTGAGTAAAGGAGTTAAGTCAGAACTTACACCGTTACTAGAGTCAATTTTTACACAAGCATCTGTACTTTTACTTAAATAAGAATTGCAGTTTTTTAAACACCTCTGTTCATGGTAAGGTTAACCGTATTTCTTTCCTTCATTTAATGTCATGGCTCTCACTTTGGTTTGCTGGAGTCCCAAAACTACTCAACATCGAAACCATTAGATGTTAACAAGTTTAGCTTCTTTCAGATCTACAATTGTTCTTGATGCCTCGCGGTCAGAGGTTGGTACTAACTAGTTACATTTACTTGAGTAACTTGAGTAAAAATGTACTTTTAGTACGTAGGTTTACTGTGACCTACTTCTTACTTTTACTGAGTAATATTCTTGTAAAGTATCGCTACTCCTACTCGAGTGAAATCTCTGACTACTCTGTCCTTTGTAAGTCATTTCAACTATACCAAAATCAGGTAAATACAATCATATGAAGAAGTTTGGGCACCATTATTATTCTTTATTATTTTTTTATTTATTTTGGGTGTTTGCAACAGCTATTTCACTTTAATGTATCTAATAACTTATTGACACAACAATATTATATGGACTAACAGATATTATAACAATATTATAATGGACTGACAGAAAATGTGCAATATGCATTAAAACAAAACTTGACATGTGCAAAACCTGTAAAGTTTTGCACCTAATCATTTTATTGATTTGAATAACCTTAACTACTTTTCAATGACTTACTGAAACACAAAATTGGAAAAGATTTGAACTTCATATCTAGGTGTATCCAATCATGAGAAAATGTATTTAAGGTGGCCTGTTGCAAGTTGTTCTCCTGTTTGAATCTCCTCTGAAGAGTCATCATGGGCACTACAAAACAACTCTCACATGATCTGAAAACAAAGATTGTTCAACATAGTCGTTCAGGGGAAGGATACAAAACGTTGTCTCAGAGATTTAGACTGTCAGTTTCCACTGTGAGGAACATAGTAAGGAAATAGAAGACCACAGGGACAGATTTTGTTAAGCCCAGAAGTGATAGGCCAAGAAAAATAGGCAGGAAGATGACGCTATAGGTCACTTGAAATAAGGTGTAGCGGTAGCTACTAGAGGCAGAGAAGAAGAATGGTGAGAACATTCAAGGACAACCCACAAACCACCTCCAAAGACCTGCAGCATCATCGTGCTGCAGAATCGTGCAGCTCATTCACTCATTTTGCACAGTTCATTTTGTGCAAAATGAACTGTGCATCTTTCAACAATTCAGCTCATTTTGCACCAGGAGAAGCTGTATGGGAGAGTGATGCCACATAAGCTTGTTCTGCAAGCACGCCCTAAACAGAATCGCTTGAGGAATGCAAAAGCACATTTGGACAAGCCAGCTTCATTTTGGAATAAGGTCCTGAGGACTGATGAAACAAAGATTGAGTTGTTTGGTCATAAAAAAAAGTAGTTATGCATGGCGGCAAAAAAAACCACAGCGTTCTAAGAAAAACACTTGCTGTGTTTAGGTGAAGGTTACATCATGCTATGGGGCTGCGTTGCCAATGCTGGCACCTGGAATCTTGTTAAAGTTGAGGGTCGAATGGATTCCACTCAATATCAGCAGATTTGTGAGAATAATGTTCAAAAATCAGTTACGAAGCTGAAGTTACACCGGGGATGGATATTTCAGCAAGACAATGATCCAAAACACCGCTCCAAATCTACTCAGGCATCCATTCAGAGGAAAAATTACAATGTTCTGGAATGGCCGTCCCGATCCCCAGACCTGAATATCATTGAACATCTATGGGATGATTTGTAGCAGGCTGTTGATGCTCGGCGACCATCAGACTTAACTGAACTGGAATTGTTTTGCAAAGAAGAATGGTAAGAAATCCCTTCATCCAGGATCCAGGGACTTATTAAAAGCTACAGGAAGAGACTAGAGGCTGTTGTTTTTGCAAAAGGAGGATCTACCAAAAATTAATGTCTCATTTTGCTGAGGTGCCCATATTTTTGCCTGCCAAATTTAGTGTTAATGCATATTGCACATTTTCTGTTAGTCTAATAAACCTCAATTCAATACTAAAATTCAATTCAACCCCCAAATATTTAGAAATAAAAATAATTAAGATTAATAGGGATGCCCAAATTCACTGTATACAGAAAACAGGAGATATTAACAGACAAAGTTCTTTACCCTGTCCTAAAATATAAACAATTCTCACTGTAAGGATCAGTTATCTAAGTATTGTGTAAGTTTTATTTGCATGAATTTGTTCTTTTAGATTCATGACATTTATGTGTTCTTTATGAGTCTTTAAAATACCAGCTCATGAACATAAAGTCTGTCTGCGTGCATAATTTCTAAACAATAAATCAGATGTTGGTATCCAACTATTACTCAGTATTCAAGAAGCCTTTCAACCGAATAGTTTTAAAAAAAAACTTTTACTTGAGTAATTTCTTGGATGATTACTTTTTACTTTTACTTGAGTAAAAAAATCTTAAAGTAGTGCTGCAAGTAGTGCTACTCTTACTCGAGTACAATTTTGGGGTATTCCACCCATCTCAGCGTGCGATCAACGGAAACATCAAAGACTGAAGGGTTAAAGTTGACCCATCAACAAGACATTATTGAAAGCCACAGAACACAACAATGCGATGGTGGCAGGTGTGATGCAGTCATATTAGCTCAGGCCAGTGGCTTCGTCTGGAGGCTGCCGTGTGCACCGAGCAGATGCATTGCATGTCCATCTGAGCTGAAATACACATTTATCAGTAAACCATAATTATCATAAATGCTCAGAATGACATGAAACGACTTTGCTTGAATTGGAAGTACTAAATGCATCTAAACAACGCTCTAAGTGAGGGATGTGATGCAGATCGACCTTGTGGCTGCACATTGCTTAGTGAATGGTGAAGGTTTTCACACACAGCCCTTTGGTTTCATTTATTGTTGTTTTAAAAATAAATATAGCTTAAGATCTCAGCAGAAATACCACTTACCAAACAAACAGGTTTGGGTTTGTGCATTTTCTTAAGAACTATGATTCTATTTTCTGCTTGTGTTGAGCTTGAAATATTTTTTTTAATCTAATCAAGGATTTCATTTTTATTTTACATTTTTACTTTAAACTAAATTGGTTTGATGATCCCTAAAACATTTAAGGTAGATTAGGAAAACGTTTTTTGCCATACTGTAGTTGAACAGCAAATATTTTCCTTTTGCAAAACAAATCTTTGTTGTAACCCCCAAAAAAATCTGCATTCATGAAAAAACAGCATTACTAAGTCTTTTTAAGTAAATAATTGTACAATGTTTTATATTGACTGAAGCTGCAGATAAAAAGGCAATAAAAGTAGAATAAAAATAAAAACACTTCCCCATATCTCCAGAGAGTTTCTAAGCCCTCAGATGCTTAAAGGGACAGATTTACAACAATGTATGACTGCAGCAGCTTCTTGATGCTATCAATACATCAGCTGGACAGAAATCAAGTTAATAATCATGTTTAATCACCTCTAAAGGTTACCTTCTACAGAAGCTATAAATATAACTGCCTACATGAGTAAATGAGGCAATCTGGCTTTAATAAAAGGCTAATAAATGTGTAAATCAATAAGAAAACTGGCTTGGTAAACAGATAACCTGGTGATCAGGATATTTTATGTTTTCTAATGACACAAATATTTAAACTAGATGGTGAAGGGATGGAGCGTGGGAGTGGACCATGGTAAATGGAGGGAGAAAAAGGGGAGAGATGCTGATCAGTAGGATGATGCAGCAGGGAATAACAGTCGCCTGAGAGCAGCTCACTGCTCATCACCACTGCAGCCCAGATATAGGTGAGTTAGACAGTTTTAACTATTTCTATGGCAAAAAAAAGGGAAGCTGTATATTTATATATTTGTCAAACAAATCACTGAATCAGGCAGAGGTGGAGGTTTGATGTTCATTTCTTCATCATATTTATTTGATAAATTATAAAGTAAAAATATAAAGTTTTAGCTCACGCCTATTTGATTGTCTATTGGAATACAGAAAAACATTTAGGTGAGATAACTGATGGGATGTAATGGACATAAAACACATTTTCAAACAAAGAATCAGTCCTTTTTCCCTCAGATAAGTTTGGGTTGGTGCCTGGATCAGTAAATAGACGCGTACAGCTCCGGATGGTTGTCCTATTTTGTAAAAACTTGAAAGTTGTGGTTTTAAATCAGGCTGTGAATTATCTGACAATAAGAACTCAGATGCAGTTTCCTTCAAAATGTCTTAGGAAAGTGAATCAGCATCTCAGTATTCAAAATTCCTCAACTTTTTTGGGGGAAAAGGTGTTGATAACAGTGGAAATAGGACTTTATGTCCTCGTTCCCTTAATAATAATCTACTAAACTGCCATCCAAAATGCTGTTCTCATCCACTAACACTTTTGTTATCCAGCACCTTTTGTTTACATAATGATGGCATTAAACAGTGCTGCAAAACACCCACAGGTGCAAGGTTTGCTGGGAACCGCAATTATTCTGCACCGCATTCTCTTGAACTAGGACATCAGTTACTTCCTCCTTTCAACCCTTTCAGATACTATATGTGTTGACAGTAATCCCTTTGCATTTCAAATGTGTTATTTCTTCAATGTTGTACTTTTCCATAAATTTGTTAAGCGCAAACTTTGGTGCTCTTAGACAAAATAAGTCATTGTTGCAATCATTTTTACAGTACATTTAAAAACTGATTAAATGCTTTCATAGTATGGATGTAAAAAAAAAACAACCAAATCAAATAACTTACCATTAAGATCATTTAATTCTTAAACTATACAAGAAAAAAACCACCCTATCAGCGTATCATAATAAGTATTATTGAATTTTCTTCTTCAAAGGGAGATCATCTTATTAACAATCACAAATCAAAGGTAAACACTTCTTTAAAAGATGTTTACTTCTGTTTAGATCAGTTTTTGCAGTGTAACTATTATATACTGTCAAAGCAGCTGTTTTGCAAACTACATTAAGAAATATCCTGTTTAAAACAACTGTCCAATATTTTAACTGAAAATGCTGATGAGCAGGGTAAAAACCCAAAACATCTCATAACACAGAGTAAACATTAATAAAGAGTACTTACAGTCAAAGCCTCCCATAAGGCTGTCAGAAAGATGTTTAACGTGTTTGCTTATGTGCCAACATCCTGAATTACAGCAGCTGACCATCTCAATCCAACATGAGCTTTACAAGTTATTTAACGTGTAAATAGTGAAACACTGAGCGGTGCTGCTTTTGCTCACTGTGAACATAATGAAATCAAATGTTTGCCCATTTTATGAGGAATAGCTGGCTTTAAAATGTCATTGGCTTATACATCCAATCATGTTAGTTAAACTGGTATTTATAGGAGTCATTTTTAGTTAAGTGACCTTCATAAAAATATCCCATTTTAATTTGTCCTTTTTACAGGTACAACATCCTGAACAGTAGCTTCAGTAGAGGCACCTCCCTGGACACGAGAGCGATGCAGTGACTCGGGTTTTCAGAGAACTTCTCAGATATGGAGCTGTGGAATATAACCAACCTGGAATGGAAACCAAACTCCTCGACGGCTAACTGTTCTGTGGACACAAGCTACCGCTACACCTTTTATCAGGTGACCTATAGCGTCATCTTCCTGCTGGGACTGGCCACCAACGGCCTGGCGCTGCGCAGACTGTGCACGTCTCCTTGCACCATGAACAGCACGGGCGTCTACATGGCCAGCCTGTCCTTCGCAGATTTGTTCTTTGTGATCTCCCTACCAATGAGAATCTACTACTACCTCCAAAAGGCTCGAGCTTGGTCCAAAACCAGTGACCTGACCAGCTGGACTTCTGGAGCAGCTTTTTGCCAGATCACCTTCGTCCTAAAATACATCAGCTTGTATGGGGGGATCTTCTTCCTGGTGTGTATTGCTGTGGACCGATACTTTGCTGTGGTGCATCCTCTTGCCCTGACCCTCCGCAGGCAACGTGTGGCGCAGGCAGTGAGCGGGGCGATATGGTGTGTGGTGCTGGGACTCAGTGTGAGTCTACCTTTGCTCCGTTTGGCCGCTTCTCGTCATAACCAGCCCTGCCTCTTGGACCCATCCTCTATGCACCACAGGACTTTCATCCTGGTCTCTCTGGGTTTAGTTTTGGGGTCCTTCCTGCTGCCCACTTTGATACTTCTCTACTGCTACTGCAAAGTGCTGAGTGTTGTCCAAAAATCGAGGCAACGCTGTCTTCGCCAGCGCCGCAACCGTCGTCAGACCCTTAAAATAATTTACTGGGTCCTGGGTGTCTACCTGCTGTGCTTTCTGCCCTATCACGTCAACCTGCTGGGGTATACCCTGACACACTTGAAGCTGCTGCCTCACTGCGGCCTGGCCAGATTGACCATGATCATGCACCCTGTGGTTCTTTCACTGGCCAGCTTTAACTGCTGCCTTAATCCACTAATCTATTACTTCTCCAGCAGCCTGGTGCACAGGGAAGCTTCAGGGGGTGCATAAGGATAGTTTCAAGGAATACACCCTTTAATTTCAAACTTTTTGTACCCGTAAGAGAACTTCCTTTTGTTATGAAGAATAAAAAAATAAATAAAGTGTACAAATGTTACAAATACAAATACGACATGTGGAAGCAGCTACTTTGAATTCTTTTTTTATAAAAAAAAAAAAAGAAAATCTGGTTGTTTTTTTCTTTTGGAGAGAGCACAGAGATGTAAAGTTCTTTGGCAGGAAAACGCTCTTCTTTCATGTAAAACTTCATCTTTGTTTTCTGGGGAAGGGGGCTGTGAGACCGAGACAAAGCAAGACTTCGAGCAAGTAAAATCAGAGTAGAATACAACCAAGCTGTTATGTCCATTGTTTTCTGATACCCCAAAAGGCATACAGTAATACCCCTTTTACAGGAAGTGGCCTAGTGGACTATTTGATATCTCTTAGTTTGCAGAAGCTGCAGCTGTTATTTTTGTCCTAAATTTTGTTTTGGCATTACCAACTGCCGTTTGAGCCTGCGCAGCAATTTAGAGCAAACAATCTGTTTGACAGGAACTTTTTATAGTGGAGGTTGGTAGACTTTTTGGAAGACACCCTGCAGGTAATCAAGTATTTATCCAGACTATGGTATAAAAAAAGGTTAAACTGGAGATATGGTATTTCCAAGAAATGTATACAGAGACAACCTTTTATATAATAATAATAATAGTAAAGGTAGCTTTGTTTTCATTAGAAATGTACACAAAACATTGGTCATAACTAGGGTTGGGAATTGATAAGATTTTCACGATTCCGATCGTTTCTGTGAAATGATTCGATTCCTTATTGATTTTCTTATCGATTCTTGTCACAGCCATCTAAATCTAATGGAGAAGGCATCCGTTTAATGCAAAAGCATTACTGTACAATTTCAGAAAATAAACTCATCTCCCCCTGATTTAAATAAACGAGCATCACTTTTTTCTCGCTCCTTGAACTGCAAAGCAACTTTGTAGCATGTTTCGTTACATCCATTGCAATAGCTAGAACCATGTAAGAATTCCAGCTACCAGTGGTTCTAATTAAACATGCTAGCAATGAAGGGCTGGGTTAACGAGAAAGGCACACTCCCTTAATAAACCCAAAGAGAGGTAGGAAATTGGTTTATTTCCAGAAATTGCATATGATTTACTAGGAACCACATTAAGCACAGCCAGCGGTATAAAACTAGCTACTGACCACCAGAGTTGCCTTCCATGCTGGTCGTAACTTTAGCTTCTGTCCGGAAGCGTCAAAAACACTCCATTCGTTAAAATATATGCCATGTTGTGTGCGCAGGTGTTTCTGCATGTTGGATGTATTTCCTCCCGCAGATGTTATTGCCACTTTGCAATGATTGCAAAGCGCCTTCTTTATCTTCCCTAAAATAAACCCAAACATTTGACCGGTTTACCCGATGGGACGCCATTTTTAGTGCTATGCTTTTCTAGACTTACACCTGGTCACGTCATACTTAATGAATGAGTAAAAACGTGACGTAAGCCATGCTGCCCACAGCCCTAGGCTCTGGTGCTGCCTGGAATCGATAAGTGAATCATTAAGCGAGCTGCCAAACGGTGCCATAGAATTGGAACACACAGAACAGGTTCTGAACAGGAACCGGTTTTCGATTCCCATCCCTAGTTATACTTTGCTAAAGTTAAAATAAAGTGACATAACTGCAGTGTTTCCATTGAATTAGAAATTAAACTAAATGAGGAGCTCGGGTGAGGAGCTGGGAGTAGAGTCATTGCGCCTCCACATCGAAAGCAGCCAGCTAAGGTGCCCCGGGCATCTGTTCCAGGTGCCCCCTGGTCACCCTCCCTCAGGAGGTGTTCCAGGCACGCCCTATTGGGAGAAGGCCTTATGGAAGGCCCAGGACACGCTGGAGGGACAATGTCTCCAAGCTGGCCTGGTGTCGCCTTGGGGTCCCCCCAGAGCAGCTGGAGGAGGTGTGCATGGATCGAGAAGTCTGGAGATCTCTACTTAGACTACTGCCTCTGCGACCCGGCCCAAGATAAAGAGAAAGAAAATGGATGTATGGATGGATTATTCTAAAACTTTAAAGATAGCCTCAAATGTTAACTTTAGAAAAATTTAGTGTTTGCTTTAGCAGTAACTTCTTGCTTTACAGTTCCTGTGCCATAAACCATGATAAGTGTGGGACATGTCCAATGGGTCAGGGAGATGAAAATTTTACCCCGCAGCTGACGTTGCTCAACACCCCATCCCTCCACACCTAGACAGTATCACAAGATACTGGCTTTGCCCCCCCACTGTGTTTTGAGGACAAAGCAACTGTCTCAGGCCTTCTCTTTCTCTTTGGGGACTGCTCTCTGACCAGTTCACATCAAAGAGACACCATCATGGCCCCAATTCTAGGAACCAGAAGCGGCAAACTTACCTAACGCTAAGTGGACCAGGTGGCTGACATCAGTACCAAATTGCTGTAAAATAGTCTGTTGCAGCATTTCTTTCAGATTTTTCATAAACTTTCAGCATCTGAAACTTTCTGAAGCATCTGAAACTTTCCTTTAGCCCCTTTTCCACTGCCCCCCAAAAGCCTATGGCTTTGCAAATTGCATTTTTTTCTCCATACAGAATAACGCAACTAATTTGCATTACCCACACTTTCCTTTCATGGGTCTTTGATCCCTCAAGCAACCCAGTTCTTGGCCATTTATTCGGGCTTTTGGAGGGGGCGGGGTTGCAAGGAGTGATGATTGTGGGACCACCTGGCTTCTTTATTGTTGATGTTTACATGTTTAGGCAACCACATCGCTAAGTTGATTTGTATGATTATCCCAGAGCCTTTCAAAGTAATTACAAAAGGAATAAGACAAATTAGTCATACCCCATATATGTTTGATGATTTTTTTTTATCATTTCATGTGCTCACTGTTGGTTAAAGACATGCTTAGCTAACAGGTTGCACCACATGTTTGACATTATTCGAGCAGTACCTTAGAAAGCTAAAACAGGTTTGTTTCACTAAGGGTTTAAACACTCATAACTTAATGTTCATGTGTTTTCTCATATGCTCATTACACTATCATTACCAAATTCTTTAATAATTATAAAACGTTATTTTCCAAATAATAAAAATTAACCTCTTGGATTTGCTTTGTGAATTGGTTTTCCATTCCAATTGCTTTAAATAAAAAAAAGCGAATCTTACCACATTCCAAATTCAAGATAAACTGGTTCTCAAACTTAAAATCCATGCAAAACGGTGATATCATTGCATCATTTAATTGATTAAGGTTTTCAACCATGCTTTTCTTCGTTGTTTTCATAGCAGCTTAGTTGAGTAGAGTTTTGATGGTCTAGTCAAGAGGTTTTAATGAAATATGTTTGACTTGGAACTGTATGATTTTTGTTAAACTATTGTATTTTGAATGTAAGTTGTGGTTAATATATATATATATATATATATATATATATATATATATATATATATATATATATATATATACACTATATTGCCAAAAGTATTTGCTCACCTGCCTTGACTCACATATGAGCTTAAGTGACATCCCGTTCCTAATCCATAGGGTTCAATATGACGTCGGTCCACCCTTTGCAGCTAGATCAGCTTCAACTCTTCTGGGAAGGCTGTCCACAAGGTTTAGGAGTGTGTTTATGGGAATTTTTGACCATTCTTCCAGAAGCGCATTTGTGAGGTCGCACACTGATGTTGGACGAGAAGGCCTGGCTCTCAGTCTCCGCTCTAATTCATCCCAAAGGTGTTCTATCGGGTTGAGGTCAGGACTCTGTGCAGGCCAGTCAAGTTCATCCACACCAGACTCTGTCATCCATGTCTTTATGGACCTTGCTTTGTGCACTGGTGCACAGTCATGTTGGAAGAGGAAGGGGCCAGCTCCAAACTGTTCCCACAAAGTTGGGAGCATGGAATTGTCCAAAATGTCTTGGTATGCTGAAGCATTCAGAGTTCCTTTCACTGGAACTAAGGGGCCAAGCCCAGCTCCTGAAAAACAACCTCACACCATAATCCCCCCTCCACCAAACTTTACACTTGGCACAATGCAGTCAGACAAGTACCGTTCTCCTGGCAACCGCCAAACCCAGACCCGTCCATCAGATTGCCAGATGGAGAAGCGCGATTCGTCACTCCAGAGAACGCGTCTCCACTGCTCTAGAGTCCAGTGGCGGCGTGCTTTACACCACCGCATCCGACGCTTTGCATTGCACTTGGTGATGTATGGCTTGGATGCAGCTGCTCGACCATGGAAACCCATTCCATGAAGCTCTCTGCGCACTGTTCTTGAGCTAATCTGAAGGCCACATGAAGTTTGGAGGTCTGTAGTGATTGACTCTGCAGAAAGTTGGCGACCTCTTCGCACTATGCGCGTCAGCATCCGCTGACCCCGCTCCGTCAGTTTACGTGGCCTACCTCTTCGTGGCTGAGTTGCTGTCGTTCCCAAACACTTCCATTTTCTTATAATACAGCTGACAGTTGACTGTGGAATATTTAGGAGCGAGGAAATTTCACGACTGGATTTGTTGCACAGGTGGCATCCTATCACAGTTCCACGCTGGAATTCACTGAGCTCCTGAGAGCGACCCATTCTTTCACAAATGTTTGTAAAAACAGTCTGCATGCCTAGGTGCTTGAATTTATACACCTGTGGCCATGGAAGTGATTGGAACACCTGATTCCAATAATTTGGATGGGTGAGCAAATACTTTTGGCAATATAGTGTATATATATATATATATATATTAGTGCTGTCAATCGATTAAATTTTTTTAATCGCGATTAATCGCATCAATGCCTGAGTTAACTCGCGATTAATCGCATTTTAATCGCACATTTTTTTCCTGATTGAAAATCATTTAAATACTCTCGATGACATACAAATAAATACATACAGGCTAGGTTTGTGCCAATGTTCTTTTTTTTAAATGAAAACAGGTCACAGATACTGATTTATGCCAAAAATAACAAATATGTAGCCAAAAAAAAGGCCCTGAAAACAGGCTGATGTAAAAGACAGTCTTTACAGTTAATACAGTATTTTGAAAAAAGACAAGCATTTTACCCAACTGCTATAAAATTTAGTAGAGTTAACATTAGATGTTAATTAA